CTGATATGCCACATTGCCTGACTGCTCACAATTTACAATAAGTGTACAAAAACACAGAAGAATGTTCATAAGAATTTTTCATAAGAATTCTAGTTTATATTGTTGAACTGTGGTTAAACTGTCGTTAGTGACATGTAATCTTTAAACTGTAGTTAAAGTATCGTTAGTGAGGTGTGGAATTTTGGTTTTCTGAACCATTTTGTTTTTCTAAGAGGATTTATCTTGGTCATGAAAAAGGGCGATAACCGACGTTAATTAAACATGAAAGAGTTATCGAAGTTTTGCCACGAGTGCTTCTATGATGATCATTCGCCGGAAACAGATAACGGAGACTCACCAGAGAAGGTAGGATTTACAAGTTTTTGACCGGGGCTGTCGGAATGTGGGGGTTAAGCAGAAGTCGGAACTTCGAGTCCCGAGGCTTGGACTCAAGTACGGCTAAAGTCGCGTAATTAACGATTCGTTACACGACTTGGGGTGTGGTCCAATGACTCGACTTGTGACTTGTAGCTTTGACAACTTGGCACGACTAGTTCTTCGCGGGCCGGCCACTGTGGTGAAATATAATAATGTGAGAACTGTTCGGTTTTCTGCAAATTTATTAAAATAACAATACTTTTAATATACAATGGTATGTATTCCATTCAGCTATTTACATATCAAAATCTCATCATATTTGGCTGTTGTTGAGGTGTTAAAATAGACTATGATGTTTAATCCATAAGCATTGTCCGATGCACTACTTGCAAATATCTTAATACGCCAAGTGAGCCCGTCTCTCTAGCGTAGTTGGCTAAACCGGATTGCGCGGTGAGCGGGCGACGAACTCCTTGTGGTCCGGGTTCACTCCCGGGGGTAGGCAGAAAAGCCAAATTTCTCCCAGATTTACGGTATTTACAATGGAATCAAGGCCGAAAGGTTGCGATATCCATAATACCGAGCCTAAGGGTTAACGACTCATGGCTTCTGGATACTATAACAAACAAACAATACGCGAAGTGCTAGATTATGGACTCGACTTATGAGCCTTCTATTCGACTTGAGACTTGACTTGGGACTCGATCTATAAGCCTTCTTTGTGACTTGAGGCTTGACTTGGCACTTGACCTATAAGCCTTCTTTGTGACTTGAGACTTGACTTGGGACTCGATCTATAAGCCTTCTTTGTGACTTGAGACTTGGTTTTGGTCTCGACCTATAAGCCTTCTTTGTGACTAGAGAATTGACTTGGGACTCGACCTATAAGCCTTCTTAGTGACTTGAGACTTGACTTGGGACTCGACCTTTAAGCCTTCTTTGTGACTTCAGACTTGACCTTGGACTCGACCTATAAGCCTTCTTTGTGACTTGAGACTTGACCTGGGACTCGACCTATAAGCCTTCTTTGTGACTAGAGACTTGACTTGGGACTCGACCAATAAGCCTTCTTTGTGACTAGAGACTTGGTTTGGGTCTCGACCTATAAGCCTTTTTTGTGACTTGAGACTTGACTTGGGACTCGACCTATAAACCTTCTTTGTGACTAGAAACTTGGTTTGGGTCTCGACCTATAAGCCTTCTTTGTGACTTGAGACTTGACTTGGGACTCGACCTTTAAGCCTTCTTTGTGACTTCAGACTTGGTTTGGGTCTCGAACTATAAGCCTTCTTTGTGACTTCAGACTTGGTTTGTGTCTCGAACTATAAATCTTCTTTGTGACTTCAGACTTGACCTTGGACTCGACCTATAAGCCTTCTTTGTGACTTGAGACTTGACCTGGGACTCGACCTATAAGCCTTCTTTGTGACTAGAAACTTGACTTGGGACTCGACCTATAAGCCTTGTTTGTGACTTGAGACTTGACTTGGGACTCGACCTATAAGCCTTTTTTTTTTTTACTTGAGACTTGACCTGGGACTCGACCTATAAGCCTTCTTTGTGACTTGAGACTTGACTTGGCACTTGACTTAGACTTGAAGAGTGTCGACTTAGTACAACCGATGGGGTTGAGACCAGTTGAGACCTTCGCCTTCCTTAGAAAGTGTATCAGGTGCACCAAGGGACGTCCAACCCTGTATTGATGTTTTCTCAAACAAGATTCATCCACCCTGGACTAAAGGTCACAAAGCAACCGTTTAGCGCTGCCACATTGTTATAATGGAGCTCCTTGGTGTAGCGCCTAGACGCTTGCCTGCGGATCGCAAGGTGTGGAGTTCGGGTCCTGGTGGAGCCAATTTTTTTTTATTTATTTGTTTAAATGACCTTTACTCCCAGATTGACTTAGTCTTGTACAACGTACAAGTAATGAGAAGTAAACGCGGTCTTCTTGATGCTGACCACATCACCCACCTTACTGTCTCTCTCTGGTCTATAAAATTTAGGTTTCGCCCTATAAGCAAAATACACTTGTTTACATAGCTATACATTATACCTTATGGGTTTGCTGAAATTGGATATGTTGTTTGAAAGGCACAGATATCGCAGCCTGTCTGTAAACCATAACACAACGTGCCAATCGTTCTTTTAAGGGTGAAGGCACAGAAGAAGAAAAAACAGATTGCAACGAATATCATTGAATAGTATACAAATAGAGGCAGTTCTCCACGGAACAGAGGAGAATGGTTAGGAACGTTTATCATTTGTGGACATGCTATGAGATAGAATTGATTCAATAATTTGGTGACGCCAAGCATGACTGATTAAAAAGAAAAGCAGACAGCAGCGCCATACCTACCTCGATGGCTTGGGTGGGTAGGTGGGTGGGTGGTTCGAGGCAAGATCACTGACCCGATATGTGAAATGGTGATCTTGTGAAATATTTTAAAGAAAGTCTAGTCGAGAAGATTGGCTTCATAGCTTTGGGTTATTATAAATGGCTTTCTCTCTCTCTCTCTCTCTCTCTCTCTCTCTCTCTCTCTCTCTCTCTCTCTCTCTCTCTCTCTCTCTCTCTCTCTCTCTCTCTCTCTCTCTCTCTCTCCCTTGTTTTTTTTCCTATCTCTTGTTCTGTTGAATCACTCAAGGCACGAACTCCGTAGCTACAGCAACGATCCTAATGGAGCCTTGGTAAAAATACATTGGTAAAATGAACAATGCGTACAAGAAACGAACCTACGACATTTAGAGCGAGTGGTAACAGCTAAACCAACCAATTGATAGATAACAAAACAATCCTGTCGACACTTATCAACAGAGTATATGATGACGAAGATGATGAGGAGGACGACGACGCCGCGACCAGCGGGAGGATGAATAATGAAAAGGGCAAGCAACGGTCACCCAGAGACAACATCCCTAGACAACCGCCATCACTTCTTGCATGTAAAGTGTTTCCTGTTCGTGCCTGCGAGGGAACCATAGCTCACCTTGATTGATCTGTTCCATTAATGTTAATGGAGATCAACGGGTACATGTGCACTCTAGCAACCAATCAAGTCGTAGCACACATATGACTTCTGTAGTGTGTATCTGTAGTCCGCACGTCAAGAAGGAATCGATTGGTTAGTTGGTGGTCGAAGGAAACCGGTTTTCACCAAGGTATAAAGATAAATAGTCAGCGTATGTTGCTTAGGCGTTACGAACGCGTTTCGTAGTGCCGGGGTGATGGCTTCGATCCCAGCTGCGGGCCTTACGTTGGTTTGGACAGCGATTTCGAGATGCCGACCGTCCAGAAAGCAATGACAAACTACTAGACGTAAACTTGCTTAGAAAAACCATAACAGCCGAAAAATTTCTGCAGGTGGTTCTGCAACGTCCTGTAAAGGAAACGCAACTAACGTTATTATGAAGATAAATATGGGTCAGTGACAAGGAATAACAGCTATCATTGCTGCTTACACTTTCCATTGTTAGAGAGAGAAAAACAAATTACTGGAACTAGTAACGAGCTCAGGCCTAGCCCCGCCCATCTACACACTAGGTCACCTTTCATTGATGCTTGGTCAGGCTGATCCACGTTGCTCAAGGTTATAGGGGTGTCACGGTGTACTGATGTATATTGCACTCTCGCGTGTGACCTAGGTTCAGTGTGTGAGAGAGGGGGTTTGGGTTTAGCGCCAGTTGTATATTTTATGGGGTCATTAAAGGTGCTGTCATCCTATAATATTGAGCACGCATGGTCGCCGGTCGGAGAGTCGACTATTGCTTGAAGTTTTCTTCTTCCTCTTCTTCTTCTTCTTCTTCTTCTTCTTCTTCTTCTTCTTCTTCTTCTTCTTCTTCTTCTTCTTCTTCTTCTTCTTCTTCTTCTTCTTCTTCTTCTTCTTCTTCTTCTTCTACTACTACTACTACTACTACTCTTACTACTACTACTACTACTACTACTACTACTACTACTACTACTACTACTACTACTACTACTACTACTACTACTACTACTACTACTACTACTACTACTACTACTACTACTGCTGCTGCTGCTGCTACTACTACTACTACTACTGTTACTACTACTAATATTACTACTACTGCTGCTGCTGTTACTACTACTGTTACTACTACTACTACTACTACTACTACTACTACTACTACTACTACTACTACTACTACTACTACTACTACTACTACTGTTACTACTACTACTACTGTTACTACTACTAATATTACTACTAATACTACTACTACTGCTGCTGTTACTACTACTGCTACTGCTCCTGCTACTACTACTACTACTAATACTACTACTGTTACTACTAATATTACTACCACTACTGCTGCTCCTGCTACTACTACTACTACTACTGCTGCTGCTGCTGCTGCTTTTACTTGAAGATAATTGACCCAGAAGCACTCCGTGAAAGCCCATTGATGCTCAGTCTTGGTGAATAAATTTTGCAAGATTTAGAGGTCCATCGTTAAAGTTTTACACTGCCTTTAAAGACTTTAGATTAACCGTCTCGTTTGTCCTTTATATGTGCCTCACTTATCCTTTCTATTCATCCATCACATTCTCCCTCATATGAGTTGATTTATATTTGATTTTAATTGAATGTTTAATGTTTCGGTTTTCGTTCTGTCTACTCTACCAGGTGATGAGCACATGTGTTCCTCAAGTTACAAACGACTTGGTAAGTAAATAAGTGTCCTTTTTGTCCCTATGTGTAAGCTTGTGTGTGTGTGTGCATGTGTGTGTGTGTGTGTGTGTGTGAGTTTGATAATTCAGTAATCTGAGCGCGTGTGTGTGACCATAAGGATGTGGTTACCACTGCCGCATATGATAAGGGGGGAAAAAATCTGACAGCAGAACTAAAAATACCTGGAAGGCTAGGGTGGATGGGGTGAGACAAGATCACTGACCTGATCCATGATTCTGGTGATCATTTAGGATAGTAAAATATGACCCCCTAAGCCTAAAGATAGGTGATGGTGATGATGATGACGAAAATGATGAAGACAATGAATACCGAATAGAATAGCAACTGTTGCAACATATAAAATCACCGTCACTTCTTGCGTGTAAATATTCCAGTCTGCCCCCCCCCCCCCCCTCGTGATTACGGTGGTGGGTGTGTGAGTTATGCCGGTGTGTGGGTTAAAGCCGGTGTGTGAGTTAATACCGGTGTGTGAGTTATTGTCGGTGTGTGAGTTATTGCCGGTGTGTGCGTTAATGCCGGTGTGTGAGTTATTGTCGGTTTGTGAGTTATTGCCGGTGTGTGAGTTAATGCCAGTGAGGGAAAGTTAATGCCGGTGTGTGAGTTATTGCCGATGTGTGAGTTAATGCCAGTGAGGGAAAGTTAATGCCGGTGTGTGAGTTATTGCCGGTGTGTGAGTTAATGCCGGTGTGTGGGTTAATGCCGGTGTGTGGGTTAATGCCGGTGTGTGGGTTAATGCCGGTGTGTGAGTTCATGCCGGTGTGTGAGTTATTGCCGGTGTGTGAGTCATTGCCGGTGTGTGGGTTAATGTCGGTGTGTGAGTTATTGCCGGTGTGTGCGTTAATGCCGGTGTGTGAGTTATTGCCGGTGTGTGAGTTATTGCCGGTGTGTGAGTTAATGCCAGTGAGGAAAAGTTAATGCCGGTGTGTGAGTTATTGCCGATGTGTGAGTTAATGCCAGTGAGGGAAAGTTAATGCCGGTGTGGGAGTTATTGCCGGTGTGTGAGTTAATGCCAGTGAGGGAAAGTTAATGCCGGTGTGTGAGTTAATGCCGGTGTGTGAGTTAATGCCGGTGAGGGAAAGTTAATGCCAGTGTGTGAGTTAATGCCGGTGTGTGAGTTAATGCCGGTGTGTGAGTTAATGCCGGTGTGTATGAGTTAATTCTAGTGTGTATGAGTGAATGCCGGTGTGCGTCAGTTATTGCCGGTGTGTGAGTTAATTCCGGTGTGTATGAGTTAATGCCGGTATGTGTGAGTTGATGCCGGTGTGTGTGAGTTAATGCCGGTGTGTGAGTTAATGCTGGTGAGGAAAAGTTAATGCCGGTGTGTGAGTTAATGTCGGTGTGTGAGTTAACGCCGGTGTGTGAGTAAATGCCAGTGTGTATGAGTGAATGCCGGTGTGTGAGTTAATGCCGGTGTGTGAGTTAATGCCAGTGTGTGAGTAAATGCCGGTGTGTATGAGTAAATGCCAGTGTGTATGAGTGAATGCCGGTGTGCGTAAGTTATTGCCGGTATGTGAGTTAATTCCGGTGTGTATGAGTTAATGCCGGTGTGTGGAAGGTGATGCCGGTGTGTAATGTAATGCCGGTGTATGAGTTAATGCAGGTGTGCATGAGTTAATGCAGGTGTGAGTTAATAGTTGTAGTGCTTACTTCTTTTCAATCTGTCTCTCTCCCCATTTATTATTTTATTCATAACACTTCACCATTTCTTAAAGGTAAAATACCATTGCTGTGTGAAAGATAAATATTTGGAATGACTGAATGGAAGACAGGCCTGCGTGTCCAATGTGTGACCCTCAAAGAATAAAGTTCATTATCTCTTACACCCACCTGTTCTCGTCTGCCTCAATAAAACTATCTCTCCAACCTATTTGAGACTGCCCCACGCGTGTGTGTATTATTTTCTCTGATATCTCATTTAACCAGTGATTCTCAACCTCTCTAATACTGCGACCCTTTGATACACTTCCTCACGTTATGGTGACCCCCAACGAAAAAAAAAATGTGTCTTTGCTGCTTACATAACTTGAGTAAATATGTGTTTTCTGGCGGTTTTATGCGACCCCTGTGAAAAGTTTTTTTTTTTAATAGTATCCAGAAGCCATGAGTTGTTAACCCTTAGGCTCGGTATTATGGATATCGCAACCCTTCAGCCTTGATTCTATGATAAATACCGTAAATCTGGGGGAAATGTGGCTTTTCTGCCTACCCCCGGGATTGAACCCGGACCACAAGGAGTTCCTCACCCGGTCACCGCGCAATCCTGTTTAGCCAACTACGCTAGCGAGCCGGATCTGTGAAAGGGTCGTTTGACCGACCAAAAGGGTCGCTACCCACACGTTGAGAACTGCGGCCTTAGACTCATTAATGTCCCTTTGTTTACACCTCTAAGATGTACTGCCGGTGTACTGGCAGATGAGTCAGTGATTAGAACATGGCTCCGTTGTTGTCAGTGTTCAATATTTTATTGTTGTGTTGCCTCCCACCACGCGGATTCCCTGTATAACATATTGCGGTTTTTTCCCCATCTCAGACATCGTGTGTTAGCTTCTCGTTCATTTACACAATTTTGTTCCTGTTCTTTTCTCCCCCTTCTCCTCGTAATTATTCTTCTTCAGATTTTTTTCCCACCTTATTATTTTTATTATTATTATTATATTATTATTATTATTATTATTATTATTATTATTATTATTATTCCTTTTTCCCCTTCACTGTCTATTTCTCTTTTTCATCATCATAGTCTTGTTATTCTTGTTCTCTTTGTCTACTTATTGTTATTCCTACATTTCTCGATTCTTCTCCTCCTTCTGATTATATGTATCATCTTTTTCTTCTTCTTCTTCTTTGCGATCAATAACAGCCTCTTCATGATGCAGATTTCAATGAATAATGTGTAGCAAAAGTGATTATGGCGCCTGACTGTCTGAAATCTAGGCATTGGTGGTTTGCCATTGCCCATTGCGATGACAGTGTCTGCTATAGGACCACCAGTACCTTCACATATTAAGACAGAACAATAAAATTACCATAATATCTAATTAGAACTAAGGGAGGTGTCGGGAGGTGGGGATAGGGATGGGGGGGGGGGGGGTTGTCAGGTTCCTAGGTTGATAGGGAAGCACCTCCAGCCCTTCGGTTCCTCCCAACCATATTCTGAGAAAACATTGAGTGTTTAGCCCCTCGTTCAACCCCGGCTTCCTTACCACCTTACACCACAGTTGACTGCCTGGCGCCCCCTCCCCACCACCTGCCTCCTCAAAAGAATATTTTAAAAGGGAGTTGGGGACGGGGGCTAGCCGACCCAGCAATTTTATAAGTGGGCTAAGATTATGCAAGTAAACTCAAGAAAGTTATCTTGTTAAGTATTTGTGCATTTCATATTAAAGCAAGTATATTTATTTGCCATTCGGCACATTAATATCTTCTTCTTCTTCTTCGCCTTCACCAGCTGTAAACTCCTGCTGAAAGTTCTGGTTGTTCATCCACTTCTGAACTACAGTCCTGTTCCAGAACCTGAATGTTGCGTGTGCATCCGTTTTACAGATCTGACTCATTAGCATGCAGACTGCTGGTTCCTTGCCTCTCAGGCAGAGGCACTCCGTCTTTGAAGGAAGCTCCCAATTAGTCGACTCTTACGACATGCTTTTGGGTAGGCAGTGGGTCTATTCTTGTTTTCGCTATAATAGGGCACCGGAATCCACACGGGTAACATTAATATTATTATATTATTATTGCTTATAATAGTGTGATAAATAGCTAATATAATCATATAAAGTAAAGTAAAAGTCCTTTTTCCACGCCTTTAGGAGAACTGGAAATATAGGACTAGAACTAGATTTTTGTGGACCAATCGGCACTTGTTTGGTGATGTGGTCAGCATCACGCAGGCCACCTTTACCAGCCTTTACTGCACCTGGTACCCACTGAAAGCTGGGTTGACCTGAAAGTCAAGGTCATTTTTGAAGAAGAAAAAAACATCCGGCTCCGTCAGGACGCGAACCTGTGACCTTCCGATCCGCAGGAAGGTGTGTAGCCGCCAACGCCATAGCTTCTTCTTCTTCTTCTCTTCCACCTTTTACCTCATCGAAGTGTCGGGGGGAGATATAATGTACGTTGATGAGCTCTGTCAAGAGCACTATTAAGACTGATGTTCATTTCTGTAAGGCTGTTCTTAATGCCATCACTCCATATTTTCCGAGGTCTTCCACTCGCTCTATACCCGTTGTAACATTTTAGTGAGGCTCGCTGTGGCAGATAGTACCAAGGCATTCTTGTCAGGTGTCCAAACCACTTTATTTGTTCTTTGATGACCTGTAAGACTGGCTTTATTCCTAGCATTCGTCTGATTTCATAGAATATGAAATTTATAAACAGACACTTTTAAAGAAAATGTATATAAAGTGTTAAACTGGGCTTTTTACTCTCTTTTTGCAAAATTCTTAGGGGTTCTTTACAAGGTGGGCTGCGGGCTGAGTAGTCTTGAGGCATAGCGTCTGCCTTGAGGACTGTAGGTCCCGGGTTCAAGCCTCGGTGAAGGCTGGATTTTTTCAAGTGGGCTTCTAGTAATTTCTCCTAGTAATTTCCCGTGTGTATTCTTGCGCATGTAAAAAAAAATATTTTTTTGCAGCTGGAAATCGAAAAGGGTAGCCTTACTGCTCTGCCCGGGCAAAATTTGGAGTTACAAATCTGCCCAAAGTATTTCAGGAATTCTGCCGGTGCAACGGTGCAACGGTGCAACGGAGCTCGTGCACTGCGCTGAAACTCTCAGAGTGAGGCTTAAGTAAGAAGTAGAATTAAGCACTTATAGGTTACACCCGTGTGCCATGATGTTGATTCGTCAAAAAAAAACCATAAACAATACAAGATGGGCTGCGAGGAGTTTCAACGGACTTGAGGCTAAGGTTCCGGCGCCTGTTACCACATAAAATATGCGGGCCTATTATTTTAGGCCTAAACCTTCTCCCTCTTCTGCA